ATCAAGTTTATATGGAAAAACAAAAAACCCAGGATAGCCAAAACAATGTTGTACAATAAAGGAACTTCAGGAGGCATTACCATCCCTGACTTCAAACTCTATTACAGAGTTACAGTTTGAAAACAGCTTGGTATTGGCATAAGAACAGAGAAATCGACCTTTGGAATCGAATAGAAGACCCGGATATTAACCCACAAATCTATGAGCACCTAACTTTTGACAAGGGAGCTAAAGGTATACAATGGAAGAAGGAAAGCATCTTTAACAAATGGTGCTGGCATAACTGGATGTCAACCAGTAGAAGAATGAAAATAGATCCATATCTGTCACCATGCACAAAACTCAGGTCCAAATGGATTAAAGACATCAACATTAATCCATCCACTTTGAACCTGATAGAAGAGAAAGTGGGAAGTAGTCTACAAGATATAGGCACAGGAGGCCTCTTCCTAAGTAGGACCCCAGTAGCACAGACAATAAGAGAAACAATGAATAAATGGGACCTACTGAAACTGAGAAGCTTCTGTAAAGCAAAGGACACTGTCAGTAAGACAAAAAGGCTGCCTTCTGACTTGGAGAAGCTCTTCACCAACCCCTCATCAGACAAAGGTCTGATCTCCGAAATATACAAAGAACTCAAGAAACTAGACACTAAAACTCTAATTAACCCAATTAAAAATTGGGGTACTGAACTTAACAGAGAATTCACAACAGATGAACTTCGAATGGCCAGAAGACACTTAAGGTCATGCTCAGCCTCCTTAGTGATCAGGGAAATGCAAATCAAAACCACTTTGAGATACCATCTTACACCTGTCAGAATAGCTAAAGTTAAAAACACCAATGATAGCCTATGCTGGAGAGGATGTGGGGTGAGGGGAACACTCATCCATTGTTGGTGGGAATGCAAACTCGTGCAGCCACTGTGGAAATCAGTGTGGCGGTTTCTCAGGAAACTGGGAGTCATCCTCCCTCAGGACCCAGCAATTCCACTCTTGGGAATATACGCTAGAGATTCCCTAACATACTACAAAAGCATTTGTTCAACTATGTTCATAGCAGCACTATTTGTGATAGCCAGAACCTGGAAACAGCCTAGGTGCCCCTCAATAGAAGAATGGTTAAAAAAGGTATGGAACATATATACATTAGAGTTTTACTCATCGGTAAAAAACAATGACATCTTGACTTTTGCATGCAAATGGATGGAAATAGAAAACGCTTTTCTGAGTGAGGTAAGCCAGACCCAAAAAGAGGAACACGGTATGTATTCACTCATAAGTGGATTCTAACCATAATTAAAGGTCTTTGAGCCTATTATTCATGATCCTAGAGAAGCTAAATAAGAAGATGAACCTGATGAAGATTATTTAGCTATCCGCCAGGAGGTAGGAAATAGTCAAGAGTCCCAGGTAACCTCGGGTGCATGGGGGGGTGGATGGGAGGGTTGTTGGAAGGGGAGAGGGTTAGAGAGAAGGGAGTAGGGGAGAAATGGGGTAAGCTCGGTTGACCGGGATGGGGGAGGAGGGAGGAAGGATGAATATGGGATCAGGCAAGAATATATTTAACTAAGGGAGTCATTTTAGGGTTTACAGGAGACTTGATTATATATGGGATCCCAGGTCCAAGGAGAGATTCCCAGATTGTTCTCTGGACAGAGGAGAGGGTGCCTGAACCGGCCTTGGCCCATAACCATGCTGATGAATATTTTGCTTATCACCATAGATTCTTCATCTGGCGATGGATGGCGGTACAGACGGAGACCCACATTGGAGCACTGGACTGAGCCCCCCAAGGTCCAAAGAGGAGCAGAAGGACGAAGAAAATGAAAAAGGAAATAAGGACTGCGAGGGATGCTATCACCCACTGATACAAGGGAACTGATCTAATGAGAGTTTACCAAGGCCAGTTGGACTGCGACTGAACGAGGATGTGATCCAACCAGATTCTCTCAATGTGGCCGGATTCTCTGAATGTGGCTGGCCCGGAGTCTTTCTGAAAAGCCATTGACAATGACACTGGGACTTGTTTCCTCTGCATATACTGGATTTTGGGGATCCAGTCTGTTTGGAAACTCACCTTCCTGGACCTGGAGGGAGGGGGGAGGAACTCGGACTTCCCACAGGGCAGGAAACCCTGACTGCTCTTAGGGATGAAGGGGGAGGAGGAGAGGGAGTGGGGGGAGTGGGAGGGTGTTGGGAAGAGGGGCGTAAATGGAAACTTTTATAATTTAATAAAATTACTTTAAAAAAGTATTTCTCTTTAATTTTTATTTACTTTTTATTTTGGGGGGAGTCTTAAGGATGGGGAAGGAGATAAAAAAGGAAAGGGTAGTGAGTGTGATCAGGGTACAAGGTGTCAATTTTCCAAGGAATCAATAAAAATAATACGGTAAAATAGCAGGGTAAATGTGATATTTTTATATATCTACATTGTATATTAAGATCAAACTAGTATTAATATTCAAATATTGTAAACATTACAATTTATGATTTATGTGTAGTAATAATAATTATTATTTATGGAGTATATTGTGAAACTCCAGTGGATGTTAACTCATAGTAATTAACATTTTGATATCATTTAATTTTGTGCTTAGAATCTTTAAGTTCCTGTTTTTCTTTTCACAAAAATCTATTCAGCTCAGAGAGTAACTTTGTGTCATCCAGTTTTGTGGTTTGTGGGAGATGGATATTTCTGTAATGAATGATTATACACAATATAATAATTCATGAAGTTAGTATATTTTACTTTTTATGTACTTTTGTACTAGTGAATAAAAATGTTATCTCTATCTTCAGGTGGGGAAACATTAAATAGCAATTGCAAATAGCAAGTGATTTTATCAAAAAACCCAGAATGTTGCTTAAGGTGAATATGAAACCAGTAACATAGAAATCCACTTAAAATAAAGATGACTTGGTAAATAAGCTCCATTGTGGGAGTCTTAATCATTGGTAAGACAAGTAGAAACAAAGAGGAAGACATCGACCCAAATAGAAACGGTAGCCACACCTAAAGGTAAAAAGAAATTCAATATTAGTGATGAATTTATTTTCAGATGTGTATATTTTATATAGTTGAAGAAGACTCATGAAGTGTTGTAGAAGTAAAAGAGTATGGGAGCAATCATGTCCTGAAATATTACAGCTACAGCTTAAGTTTTATAACATATTGAAGTTTGCTTGCAGACACAGCAATTGAAACTGTTGCTAACAACTGTATTTTTACTACAAATCCTACAAATTTTTCATGCTTCATAAAACTATGGTTTTAGTTCACTAAAATCAGTGTTTTTTTTAGGAGTAGTTGTACAGCACTATTTTAAAAAACATACTCCTCATAAACAAATTTAGTCATAGTATTTTATTATTAGCTATTAAGACTTCCAATTTGGGGAATAAGGGATTGATTAATTGATGTAACACATAACCCATCTTCAAAATGGTGTGGACTAATCTATCCTGAAGCATCATGAAATAATAAAATATGAGAAATACAATAGTCATAGAAATCTTGTTTGAAACATGAGCCTTAGTTATTTATCCCTTCCATAATTATTCATAGAATAACACTGATATAAAACTTACTGTGTCATTTATTTAGGATACATAAAGAAGTGTCCTGTCTAGAAACTTAACCATCAATATTCAGTTTTATACCTTGGGACAGCTAATGAATCTCTCACTCATAACGTTGATCTCTAAAATCATTATGATAATTGTATGTATTATATTTGAGGATACTGTGTTTCACAATAATTTTATATTTAATTTCTCATTTTACTATGAGGCTAGTAATATTGTAAAATAAGACTGGTCATCATATCTCTTAACAACCCAGATATTTAATGACTAAAACAAAGGAGGCACTCACTACACATTAATTCTTAATAAATTCATGACTAAATTAAAAGATAACACCATTCAACATTTTTAACATGAAGAAGATATTTGAGGCAGATACAAGTGTAAAATGTAAAATAAATTAGTTTTTCTTAAAGTAAGTATAGTGTACAAATCTATACAAGATTTACTTAATAATTAGTATCTATATGGCCCAAGGGAAAACAAATGAATCTGTGTCCTCAAGAGTCAGTCTGGGAATTTAAATTCAAAGAATAATATTCAAGTCATATTGTAGTGACTGATATGTAGGAATGAAACTTAGGATTATTAGTTCACTTCATCTTTAAATATATGAGTATCGAAAATTACTTACTTTGACTAGGCTTATAACTTAATTAAATCATAATGACTATCAGAACTAATTGGATTCATATTATTCCATGATAAGCCTTGTATTATATAAGGATAAGATTGATGGAAAGAAGAAAGGGAAATGAAAGAAGAAAGAAATACAGATCAATAAAATATCTGGTTGACAAAAACGCCAGTCATCAACTTTTGTGGATTCCAAAAGAATCCACCAAATGTATTGTAGAGGCCCAATTATTTCTATGCCAAGATCAGAAAAAGGAAATAATCTTACAATGTGTTCTTTACAAAACAACATCTTTATCATATTCAGAAATAAAGTTATGATTTCAGAACCCCTTTTCTAGTGTGCTTAGTGTCAGACCTCCAATTATTTTGTATGGAGGGTTGTTAAAAAACACATGCCAGCTCTTTGGGATACATCAGTTCATGTCCACATCTTGTTTACTGGACACTGTTGTCAGTAGAATTTTTTAAAGTAAGAGCTTAATTCAGTGACATTAGATGGTTTACATAGTTTACCTCCCACTTGTCACCTCATGTTAGCGGCAAGTGTATGTTGACATCTATCTTGTTCTGTCCACTAGACTCTGTCTGCTCTAGGGATGCATCTACCTACAGGATAAGGCACTTTCGGGACTATTTCTTGGGTTCTGCTCTTATGATTCAACGTTAAAACACTTTACCTGGCTGATGTTCTAATTTAAAACGTACTGTGTGCATTAATGTTATAAGTGTTAATAGAGATTCCATCATTGTAATTAAATTAAAATGCTTAACATTACTGAACTAATACCCTGCGAAACCTATAAAATGATGATATAGGTACATAATTTACACTGCATTGTTAGCTAAGGAGACAGTGTTGTGTATGATCTATATTTTACTACACTCTAATAATTATTGTATAGTGCAAGAATTATAGAAAATGAAGTTTATCCTCATATAAGGAACTCGTGCTGAGCTTTTACATAATAAAGAAAGCAGAATGGTTGATCCATGTACCCAAAATGGAGCCCTGAAGTAGATGTTTTGAAGATTGGTATCACAACTGGTTAGAAGCACTTACACAGTGGAAACAATATTGTTCATATAAAATAAAGAGAAATTTAAAACTAGAGTTTTGATTTACCTTGTAAGGTCTGTGTAGATGGGGCTCCTGGTGCCTTAGTTTAAGCAAAGCTATCATATTTAGCTCACTTAAAACTAAGGTTGACAACATCAAATATTTTATTAAGTTGACTAATCTTGAAGGTATTACTGCAATAGAAGAAAAAATGATGATCTTTGTCACAGCTACAACTGGACAATGGTAGTTGTTAAGCATAGAGAAGATGAAAGGCAGCTGTCCTTCTTGACTTGCAGAGTAAAAAAATCTTGATGCTGAAAGTATTCCACAGGCAGTGCTGTTTAACATTGAAATTGAGACCGCAAAAGAAATGATCCATTGCATGGAAGGGAAGACTCTGTCCATCCATGTGCCAGCAACAGAATCTATAAAAATTAAACAGAAAGTCAAAATGCAAAATTCAATTTCACAGCAATTACAATTCATTTCTACATAAAAATATGTCTGTGATGCTACTTCATTGAGACAGGGTCTTTTACTTCATTAAATGACTCTGCTCTGCTCTTGCAATTTGATTTGACAAGACAAGATCTTCTAAGGTGACTGCTTGTCAGCTATGAGCCTCCTTTTTTGGAGTATATCATGGTTCTTGCTCTTCTTGAATTCTATAATACCTATCTTATGTATGAAAGACCTAAGCATTTTCAGCAAGCTCATCAGAGAATGCAGCCATATTTGTTTGGGAGCCATGATAAGACATAGAATTGTCTTTAAATCCTAATTTTCCTGTGCTCAGATACTTCATGGTGAGATACTTTATGACATTTATACCAAAGCCATGTTTCTTCATTAAATCATCTTGTGTGACAGGCCTTTAAAACCTCACTTATCTTACAGCTGTCTTTTTTCAGCTAAAGAGCTCCCTGCATGTTATCCATTCATTCTTCCTCCTCCTCTGTTCCCGTTTTCTGGGGTTCTGATGTGTATCATGGTCCATGGCTCTCAAACTATCCATCTAGCTTCCTTGCTTTTTTTTTCTAATATCAAATTTTACCTGAATACAGTCATTGTACACACAAAGATAGCTTGGGATTTGCTTTTGCAAAGGACCAGAACTGTCTTCTAGGGTATAGTCCAGAGTTCTTGAGCAGCCTGAGGATAGCAGTCTTCTAATCTGCAACAGGCTACAGACATGTTCACAATTCCACAGAGAACAGATGTGCTCAGCTGGACCTATCCTATGCAGTCTGTCTCAAGGATTTTAAACTGAATACTTGGTTGACTTATGTCCAGAAATTCCTGGAGGTTTGTCAAGAACCAATAGTTAAGTGAAATAGTTATTCAAGTACTTATGACATGATTTAAAGATGGCACTATTTTTTAGTAGAGCAAAATAAATTCTTAAGTGGTATGCTTGATATAAGAAATATAAGAATATTCTAAGCCAGGTAGTTGTGGCACATGCCTTTAATCAAAGTACTTGGGATGTAGAGGCAGGTGGATCTCTGTGAATTTTAGGCCTGCCTGGTCTACAAAAGCAAGTTCCAGGACATGCTCCAAAGCTACAGAGAAACCTTGTCTTAAATAACCAAGCAAAAGAATATTCCAATATGCTATAAAATTAATACAAATCATGTTCTTAAGCATGTTTATAAACCATAGTTAAAATAAAGTCATAATAAAGTTAATTTATATCAGGTTAGTATTTTGCATGGGCCTTTGATGAGCTAGCTGTTTGACTACTTTATTTACATATCCAATAAAAGTGGTTAAGCACCTAAGATTTTTGTCTGTGTGTTCCAAAAGTCAAATGTTAACTTTTCTTTGTCTTGGACATTTCTGGTATAAAACTCAAAGAGTGCTTTCATCAGAAGTATCATTGATACCATCCTTGAGTGAAAGTCATTCCATTCCATTTCCAAATTTAAACTATTTTTAATGCTCTCCAAGACAAAATATATTTGTATTTCACAAAACATTTTGACTCAATGAGCACATCATTAGAGTCACTACTATTACAGACAGCAGATAGGCTTGTAATTGAGGCTGAGTCTATCCAGCTGTCATGGTAGACAGGCAGAGGAGAATGAATCTGTTCTGGGAATGACAAATTCTTTAGAGCATGATGTATCTGTGTGTAGGATAATTAAAATGTCATTCTGAGTAGGAAAGTCACATTGTTTCCTTTGTCTGTGTATATTTGCACATATACCTTAGTTTGTTACATGCATGAATACATTTGTGTGTGTGCGTGTGTTCATGTCCTTGGAAAATTGTGTGTGTACACACATATGTGAATGTGTGTGCATATATGCACCCAACATGAGTATGTGTATGTGTGACATGTGTGACTATATACAAACCCATTCTCTTGTGTATGTACAGGCTTGCACATATGTATAGGTATAGGTATGCATGCATACAGAAGTATGTGTGTGTATATACTTGTGTTTGTATGCACAAATGATGCTGTATGTGTGCATGTGTATGTGGGTACATCTGGGAGCCATGTGTGTATATGTGTATGTGTGTGTATTATTATATTTTTGCATACCTGAAGAGAGGATTTCCTGAGGTGACAAAACTGCCAGGTAGGATACATTAGTCAATATGTATAACACAGCCACCGTAGATATACCAGAAATCAGAGATTTTGGAATCGTTTCAGCAGGATTTTTTATTTCTCCTACAAAACAAGTTCATTACTATAAGAACTTTTCTTTGTTCAACTTGAATGTTTCTTTGTAAAAGAAATAGTCCAATATCTTTGCCTTTCCATTTACTTACTTTGATTCTGGTATTGTCCTACACATATTTTACCTGAAAGCTGGTATTTTCTAAAATCCTGCTCTGAAAATAAAGGTAAGTTTGTGAAAATCACCCCTAGTCATATCATAGAAACAGAAGAATTGGTTCTACTACTGAAGAGTGAATAAAAGTACAGTAATGGTAGTTACATCATAATTAAATTTGAGTATTTGCTTTCTGTTGCTGAAATCCATACATTGATGGTTCAGATACCAATATCCAGCCCTGCAGAAGTCAGTCACCAGTCTAAACAAAGAAGAGTGGTGCTTGCTACTATATGCTCTCCCTCCAGTGTAAGAACTTAGATATATAGCAATAATTTTATTGACACATGACCAGTTAAATTTGTCACAGCACCATTGCACAATCCATAAAATTCAAAATCCATGAAGATCCATTAATCGTGTTATAAGCAATGTTAATATATGGCTAATATGATTGGGAACCCCATCCAGTAGGGCATTGTGATATAAATCTGTTTTTTCTATTCCTTGACTTCATGTGGCAAACCTTAGAATAAAATAATCGATTTATATCCAGTGGTGACAACAGAATGTGAAGGTGTCCTGGTGAAATGTGATGAAGCTGGTAAGGGAGGAAAGTTATGATCTAATTTTTCTGGATTGGCAGAATCCACATTCTATTTTGTTGTTTAGAGATAGGGTTTCTCTGTGTAAACTCATGGTCCTTGAACTTATTCTGTAGAATAGGCTTGCCTCACATTCACATATACCCACCACTGTAAGACAAAGAATGCAGGTATGTAACAATGCTCTCAGAATTTGGGTCCAGATCCAATTTCTTAGGTTTATAGAATATACAACAACATTTTCACTTCTGTTGTTATTGGTGGGTTAGATGTTGGGATATTTACTTAGTCGGCACTAAGGATCATGAGCAAGCAGAGTTACAGAAATGGAACAGATAAGGTGAGAATTGATCTGTTTCTATATGCTTTCCTAGACAATGGGAAGGGAGGGAGAGTTCAGCTTATGGGTGATTTATAGATGAAAAAATGATGTCCTATTCTTAACCAAAATTATAGAAAATGTTAACTCTTCTCATCTTTCTTATCGGAATGAATGTCAATGCTGAGATTCCTTTCTCCTTTTTTTTTAATTCGAGGACCCCAACCAATTGGATGATACCATTCACAGTTAATGTGAATCTTTCCATTCGATTAACCTAATCTATTTAAGTCTTCACAGATGTGTGTAGAGATTTGCCTCCTAGATAACTTCAGATCCTGTCAGTTAACAGTATTAATTACCATAATGATCAATATCGTATTCCTTAACATTGCTAGAATAGCAGTGCTCTTTAATTTTATGAAGATATCTACTTCTTAGGAATCACTTGGAAACCAAAGTATCTTTCTAGAGAATGGAGCAGGGAAAATCTAAAGGTATGACCAGAGCAGAGTTACATGAGAGTTACATGTGCTTCAATGGGAACCACATTGAAAACAGCACCCAGAAGGAAAAATCAGAGGAAAATAAGTGTAAAAAAAAAAATGAAAGCATAAAGTGTTCTAGGAAACATGTAGTTTTATTTTATTGAGTCAGAAATATATTTCGTAGGATTAAGAGAAAAATGGAAACCCAAAGTTTTATATATTGTTTAAAATTTCTTGAGATTTATTTTTATTTTATATGTATCAGTGTTTTGCTTGCATGTATATCTGTACTCCGTGTATATTCAGAGCCTGTGGAAGGCAATGTTTTGCTGTATGTATATCTGTGTGTCATGTGCATCCTCTGCCTGAGGGGGCTAGAAGAGGATGTCAGACCTCCAAACCTGAAGTTACAGTCAGCTGTGAGCCAACATGTAGATGATGGATATTGAGCATGGGTCCTCTGGAAAAACAGCCAGTGCTCTCAACTGCTGAAGCGTTGCTCCAACCCCAAATCTTATTAGCATTTGATAAGTAATTATATGCAGCTTATGATGCACATTACATGGAATTATAAAAATTGAAAATAAAAGCTGTTTCTAATACATAATTGCAAATGGCAGTTTTAAAAAGGATCTACGTATCTATAGAAAATGTATATAGGAATAAAAAGACAAATTCCTTGGCAGTAAATACTTGGCAAAATGAAAACTTTTCATAATTTTAGTTATCTCTCTCTCTCTCCATGAGTGTGTGTGTTTGCTTGTGTGTGCATCTATGTGTGTATATACTTACACGTGCAACATTGGGATATTATCCCCTAAATTCAGAATTCTAGAGAAAGGAAGAAAGACAACTTTAGAAATGTTAGTAGAACTTAGAATGGTTGATAGTTGCATATAGCTCAAGTTTCTGAACGTAAAATATTACAAAATATGCAAATCTACTTTAAAAATTCCTTAAGAAATCTTCAGATGTTGACAAAAAATTAAAACTTGAACCAAAATCAAATCTGCAACTCAGAATCTTTCTCGTCAGTTTCCCTGAACAAGATGGAAAAGTCACAGTGAATGCAAAGTAGAACAAATATGAGACTTTAATATACAAGCAGAATACAGGCAATCTTCCGAGGAATTTCAATCTCAGTAATGAGAAGAGAAATAAATACTTCACAATCATACATTGGAGTCTAAATATCTTGATGGTTTGAGCTTGTTAAGTGCTGTCTCTGTACTATTTAGACTAATTACATTACAGCATGTGACAGGTAGTCAGTGAATAAGTTTATTAAATTATATTTGATTAGATGCATAAATCAAAAGAGCCAGATAAATATATGGGAAAAGAAGGACTCTAGAAAATTTTAATTCCTTAATTTTACATAATAGGACATGCCTCAGTGTAACAGAAATAAATTATAAACAGTGGGAGCCCTTACGTGACCAACAGCAAATAGTTGACTCAAAACAGTGAATTATTGTGCAATCTTTTATACTGGACTATTGTAGGTTGTAACACAGAGATCGATCATAAAAGAACAGATGAAAAAAGCACATGAAACAGTTCCTACACAATGGCACTAAGAGCATAAGATAGAATTCCAGAAAAATCAAAAATAATATCAAGATAAAGGGCATCTTTATATTGCAATAGGGAACTATGCACAAATTAAGCATCATAACTTTAGCAAAAAAATTAAAAAATTGAAATAAGCAAGGAAGTCCTTAGAAAGAAACACAAGAAATATTTTTTCTTGGTATTTTCCATCTTTCAATATCAAAACTAGACTTCATCAATAATGATAAAATAAAGAAAAAATTTCAATTGAAGTTGGTTCATCTTTTTCATTTGAAAATGAGTCTATTTGTGCACTTCTTACTTAATTAACTTCTGGAAAAATACCTCCAAATGTGGTTTCAAATGCAATGAAGTCTGAGAATATAGAAAATATTAATTTACTTTTGAAAACTTAAAATTCTAAATGAAAGAGAACCTGAGGAACATGTCATTTTATTCTATTCCATTTACCTGAAAAACAACATATGGAAGTTTAGTAATGAGTATATAATACAAAGAAAATTACATTTTATTACACAGCAAGAAAACAATCATTGTTATCATTCCACAAAAATCCTAAGCAAACTCTTTTGCAAGCTACCAGATATTTTCATGAATGAATTTACCTGCTATGGTAAACAGAAGTGATGATCCCGAATATGCAAAAGACCCTTGAAGAATTGCTTCTGCAATTTGTGAGGCATCAGGAAATTCAGCACCCAAAGCATTCTCAAACCTGGACACATTCTCTCTTTTCCCAATCACTAACAGCACAATCCCAGTTAGAGAAATGAAAAAAAGGACAGCCATCTTCATGAAACTACTGATAGTATTAAACCAAGACACTGTAGTCACCCCTCGAGCATTGAGAATTCCTAGTGACCACAAAACAGCCAAAGCCAGACATTTTTTTGGTAGCTCTGGAGCTGGGCACCCAGAATAGAAAGGTTGGATTAGACAATTTGCTATTAGTAAGCTTTGGGTACTTAGTCCCAAGTAATATCCAAACATACCAATCCAAACATTGAGGAAAGCAACAGAGGACCCAAGTGACCTTTTTAGGCAATAATAGGGTGCTGCACTCACAGGAAAAGTAGTTGCTAGCTCTGCAATACAGAGAGAATTCATCATTTTTAGCAGGGCAGCAGCGGCCCATATACTCAGGGAAACAGGGATGTTCTGTGAAGAATATTTCAAAACCCCTTGAGGAGACACAAAGATTCCTGCCCCTATCATGACACTAAATAAGAATATGTTTCCATGGAAAAATCCTATGGCCCTCAAGAGTCCCATGCTTTTCTATTTGTTTTTTTTTCTCAAATCTTCCCAAATGAATTTAAAATCTTGTATGGACTGCCACCGCCACAGCTCCTCCAACTCATGCAAGACTCCCTAAAGCAAGATGTACTCTTAACTAAGCTTTATCACCTGCTTTATAAGATGTTTATTTTTGAGTTGTAAATAATTAACTTGTGAACTGTCCTCATGTTTTCTGACTTCTTCTTGAGACTACAGTAAATGTGTTTCATGTTAATAATTATTCTTTGTAATGTTGGAGATTGAGCCAAGGCTTTCATCCATGCTAAGCAAATGTTTTATTAATGCATCTCTAGTTCTGTTAAAAGTTTTTCAAAACACAAATGCCATTGATTAAATTAGTGACTCCTAAATTAAAATGTAAGGTTTAGCTTGTGGAGGGGGTAGTTCATCGGCTTCCTTTTCCAATAACATTAGAGCTGAGGAGAGTCAGTGAGAAGGATATCAGGTTTATTCAAGAGCCAATACCTTGAAATACTGAACCAACATTTACCTCATTCTGAAAAAAAAAATATACCGTGGGGTATTAATGAATGATAGTGATATGTTTATAGAAATAAAAAAAAAGATGTAGAGGCCTCATGGGGTCCCCTTATTCCACTTCCATCCCCTTGGGACTCAGTCATCACTCCTGATGCTAACTAGTTTGAGTCCCCCTAGTTCTTTATCCACTGGCATCTTTAGACATTTCTTTCAGCTATTACCAGTTCCTTTGTGGCACCCTGCTGACTACAAATCTGCTCTCTTCCAGGAACCTCACAGCAATGGCACTTGTGGGGACCTAAGTAGGGCATTAGTACCCTCTTCCTACCCCCCACATCTGACATCCATAGGGTACTCTTAGGTCTGCTGTTATCTCCCACTTAAGTCCTTCTTTCCAGCCAACATCATCACTCGGGACTTGATGCCACGTGTGGCAGTAAGTCAACATTGCTCTAGATATTCTTTTGCTACCCCTTTCAGCGATTCCTTGCAGACCATCTCCATTCCTTTGTGACTATTTATGAACCACAGAATTCTTTTTTTTTCTTTTGATGTGGGACAAAGTAAACTATTCTGTCCTAGTTTCTTCCCTCCATTCTGATCTCTCTAGAATTACCACCAAGCTCATCTCTGTCACTCAGTTCCTCCTACCTGTCAATTTCCAGCTGTTTAAGATTCCTCAGTAATCTATGACTAGATCCAGAGCACCCTAGTTCTGCCTCTGCCATCCTTCATGGTGTTAGATCATAATTTAAAAAAATAATTTAAGAGACCTCCAGATTCAGTGCCCTTTCCATGTTTGTTAGCTTATCGTCACTTCCACCTGCAATGCATTGCTCTGGGGCCACTTGGAGTCTGAACGCAGAGTTTCAACAAGCATTTCAGATGTGGAACATTTAGAGTTTAAAACTTGAAACCCAGAGTATCCCTATGGCTGAAAACTGGGAATAATTCTGCTGGTCAATAATCTGTTAGACTGTTTAACACCAATCTAATGACCTAATACCAGCATACAAAGGCAATACCAGATATCCACACTATATATTATTATAAGTTTGTCATCTCTAGGTGACTAAACTAAAAGAACAAAACTAAAAACTCGGACAACAATACAATGTTACTCCTTCAGAAATTAGCACCTGTACTGCAACATTACCTAAGGAAAACAGCATAGATTAAATAGAAGGAAGGACTTCAAAAAGCAGTTAGGAATAGGTTCAAAGACCATAGAGAGGTTGGGAATAAATGCTCCAAATAAGTACCATGGAAATACAAGCAATTGGATGAAACAATGAAAATAATTCAAATTATGAAAATTGGATTTATCAGAAAAATAAAATTACTAAAGAAACACCAAACTGAAATAAACTTGAAATGAAATTCAAACAAAGAGTTCAGAGGAGAGTGTCACCAACAGATTGAATGAATTGGAAGAGGAATTTTCAAGTCTCAAAGAAAAGGTAGAAGAAACAGTTTCAGCTCAAGAAAATATTAAAACAAACCAACATAAACAAAACCACCAGATACAAATCACCCAGGAAATTTGGGACATAACGAAAATATTAAACCTATTAAAACATGTATGAAGAAAACCAGTTCAAAAATACACAGAAACTATTTTTAACAACATCATAGAAAAATATTACACAAATTTAATGAAAGAGACACCCATCAAAGTGTTAACAGTATATAAAACACAAAATAGATAGGACCATAAGAAAACAAACAAACAAAAACATGTCAAGGACACACTATAATCAAAACACTATAACATTAAGTGTACAGAACAAAAAGGATTATTAAGATTTGCAAGAGGAAACAAAAAGTCAAATTGAAAGGTATTTTGCTTTTGCTTTTGCTTTGGTTTAATTCTGGAATTCTCTATACAGCATTAGCTGTTCTTGAACCCAGGGTATAGAACAGGCTGTTCTTAAACTCACAACAATCCATCTGCCTTTACAGCCCATCAGGTGACTTTTATTTTTTATAGCTATTTTTTTCTCAAAAAATTTCACCATAAAATAGCACTTCCTCCCAGATACTTTCTACATCATTGCGCACCCAATTTTGTGTTCTTTCTTTCAATATCTTTCAAACACACGCACACACTCATGCACACACACACACACACACACACACACACACACACACAAAGAGAGAGGAAGAGAGACAGTAAAAATAGAAGAAGATCAAACCAAACAGACGAAAACCACAGGAATGAAAAGCAAAACAAATAAGGAAAGAACAATAAAACAACAAAAATCAAACAAACAAAGACTCCACAAAAATAGTATTGATTTCATTTTATGTTGTTCAACTATCCCTTACCATGAGGCTTGCTCAGAAGTGTGGTTCACATACTCAGTAAGCTGTTATTGGAGAAAATTGATTTTCCTTTGTAATGAGTAACAATTGCAGATAATTTCTTGGTTATGTGTGGGACATTGTGTATACTTCTTCCTCTTAGTGCTAAGACTCTATCTGCTTTAAATGTGAGCACATTTTCTATGTGTTTCTTTGAGTTATGATGGTAGGAGTCCTGTTTGTATTAAAGATACTGCTTATTAGGAGTAATTTTTCTTAGTTAGGATTTCTACTGCTGTAATGTAACACCATGACCAAAAAGCAAATTGTGGAGAAAACAGTGTATTTCACTTACACTTCAGTATTGAGTGTTCATCATTTAAAGGAAGTCAGAATAGGATCCCAATTAGCTCAGAAACGAGTGCAGAACCTGATACAGAGGTCATGGAGGGTCATTACTTACTTACATGCATGACTAGCTCAGCTTACTTTCTTATAGAAGCCATAACTACCATCCCAGGAATGACACCACCCACAATGAGCTGGGCCCTCACCCACCAGCCACTAGTTAAAAGAATTTCTTATAGATGAAACTTATGGAAACATTATGGAAAAGGTTTCCTCCTTACTGATAGCTCTAGTTTGTGTGTCAAGGTGGCATAATACTAACCAGAACATATTCCATCCATTTGGCATTTTCTGTCTTTCTGATTCCTTTTCCTTATAGATCTATGAGCTTTGAGAGGAAGGGTTTGATAAAAATATCCCATTTAGCATTGACTGCTCAGAATTCTCACTCTCTGTGCATTGTCTAGTTATCTGTCTCTGTATTAATTTCTATCCACTGCAGTAAGAAGCTACTCAGATATGACTTGTATGAGACATTTATCTGTGAGTATAGCAGCATATAATTAAGAGTTTTTATATTAATATGTTTCTTTAGCAGAACAATGGCAGTTGATTATTTTTAGGCCTGTGACCTGTCTAGTCTCAGATTCTTTGTCACTTTAGCAGTTTCAAATATGGCTTCTATCTATTGGAGTGTACCTTAAGTACAATTCAATAAAAATGTTGTTGGTTATTCTTATAAGATTTTTGACACTATGGAACCTGTATATCTGTTATACTTCACAGGGTTTGTAGTGGAGTGCTATTGATTACCTTTCTCTCTGGTAGTACTTACTAAACCTTCAGGTCCGATAAACAAAAATCTGTAGGGGTTGCAGGCTCTAGTTAGGCTCTAGCTCCAACTCTCCGTTTGCTGACAGATGCTAAGTATTATATTCACCAATAGGGCCTGACCGTCCAGTTATAGAGAGTTAACAATAACTTTTGCAATAGCCTGTGTTGTTTGGCAGTCCCTAAGGTACCCATTTGAATAACTCAGCAAGATGCAAATTATCCCTGGCACAAGAGGTTTTTCTTGTTAGTGTATTATGTCTAGTTGGGAAATTATCTAGTTGGTGACTACGTCTGAAGTCCTTCCATGTATGGGTTTATTTCAGGAAGTATCTGCTACAGTAGGTTTTGATATAGTTTCACAGGTTATTGAGTGTTAGTTATTCTTCCTCATATTCCCTTTACTCTTCCTCCCACCACCTCCCTATTTAATACCCCTATTCAAGTTTCCTTTTTGTCTCCACACAGCTGAATATTTTATTTTCCATTCTGTGGGCGATTCTATCCTCACTCTGATCACTTAATGAACTCAGTAATAGTGAATACCTAACCTCTGTGGTTATGCAGATTTTAGTGTAACTGTTTAAGGTTTAAGTTAACATACACATATAAAGGAAAACGTATAATATTTTATAAAAGAACACACACACACACACACACACACACACACACACATATATATATGCACATTTATATATAACATACACATATAAAAGAAAACATAACAATTTTGGTTTGGGTTGTTTCACTGAGAATTGTTTTCTCTAGGTAAATCCATATATTTATGAAATTCATACTTTAATTTTTCTTAACAGTTGATTGATAATTTACTAACACCTGACTTTTTAATGACGAATCTTTACACAGAAAGAAATTACAATATAATCATGTCACATGTTTCTCTTATAAGCTCAGATGTAGTTAAACATTTTTCTTTGTATTAATTTCCCTACTATCACATTTTCACCCCAAAGCAATGATTTTTTATTATTGATTAACACAGTGTACATAAATAAGGTATTCTTCTCAGCCAATTCTTTTATTGCCAGGCTACACTTTGTGGATACAAAATAAGATCAATAATTTTATTATCTATTTTAAAAGGTAATC